AGAACTCCCAGAACCCCATCAACCAGGTATCAACCAGGTATCACAAGCACCACACAGTAACACAGGCACCACCACACAATAACACAGGCACCACACAGTAACACAGGCACCACACAGTAACACAGGCACCACACAGTAACACAGGCACCACACACTAACACAGGCACCACACAGTAACACAGGCACCACCACACAGTAACACAAGCACCACTCAGTAACACAGGCACCACCACACAATAACACAGGCACCACACAGTAACAGGCACCACCACACAGTAACACAAGCACCACACAGTAACACAGGCACCACACAGTAACACAGGCACCACCACACAGTAACACAGCCACCACCACACAGGAACACAGCCACCACACAGTAACACAGGCACTACACAGTAACACAAGCACCACTACACAGTAACACAGGCACCACACAATAACACTGGCACCACACAGTAACACAGGCACCACACAGTAACACAAGCACCACACAATAACACAAGCACCACACAGTAACACAAGCACCACACAATAACACAAGCACCACCACACAGCAACACAGGCACCACCACACAATAACACAGGCACCACACAGTAACAAAGGCACCACCACACTGTAACACAGGCACCACCACACAGGAACACAGGCACCACACAGTAACACAAGCACCACACAGTAACACAGGCGCCACACAGTAACACAGGCACCACACAGTAACACAGGCACCACACAGTAACACAAGCACCATCATACAGTAACACAAGCACCACGCAGTAACACAGGCAGCACCACACAGTAACACAGGTACCACCACACAGTAACACAAGCACCACACAGTAACATAGGCACCACACAGTAACACAGCCACCACCACACAGTAACACAGCCACCACCACACAGTAACACAAGCACCACACCGTAACACAGGCACCACCACACAGTAACACAAGCACCACACAGTAACACAGGCACCACCACACAGTAACACAAGCACCACACAGTAACACAGCCACCACACAGTAACACAAGCACCACACAGTAACACAATCACCACACAGTAACACAATCACCACACAGTAACACAGGCACCATAACACAGTAACACAAGCACCACACAGTAACACAAGCACCACCACACAATAACACAGGCACCACACAGTAACACAGGCACCACACAGTAACACAGGCACCACACAATAACACAGGCACCACACAGTAACACAGGCACCACCACACAGTAACACAAGCACCACTATGTAACACAGGCACCACCACACAATAACACAGGCACCACACAGTAACAGGCACCACCACACAGTAACACAAGCACCACACAGTAACACAGGCACCACACAGTAACACAGGCACCACACAGTAACACAGGCACCACACAATAACACTGGCACCACACATTAACACAAGCACCACACAATAACACAAGCAAGCACCACCACACTGTAACACAGGCACCACCACACAGGAACACAGGCACCACACAGTAACACAAGCACCACACAGTAACACAGGCACCACACAGTAACACAGGCACCACACAGTAACACAAGCACCACCACACAGTAACACAAGCACCACACAGTAACACAGGCACCACCACACAGTAGCACAGGTACCACCACACAGTAACACAAGCACCACACAGTAACACAGGCACCACACAGTAACACAAGCACCACCACACAGTAGCACAAGCACCACCACACAGTAACACAGCCACCACCACACAGTAACACAGCCACCACCACACAGTAACACAAGCACCACACAGTAACACAGGCACCATACAGTAACACACAGGCACCACACAGTAACAAGCACCACACAGTAACACAAGCACCACACAGTAACACAAGCACCACACAGTAACACAGGCACCACCACACAGTAACACAAGCACCACACAGTAACACAAGCACCACACAGTAACACAGGCACCACCACACAGTAACACAAGCACCACCACACAGTAACACAGCCACCACACAGTAACACACAGGCACCACACAGTAACAAGCACCACACAGTAACACAAGCACCACCACACAGTAACACAAGCACCACACAGTAACACAAGCACCACACAGTAACACAAGCACCACCACACAGTAACACAGGCTCTACCACACAGTAACACAGCCACCACACAGTAACACACAGGCACCACACAGTAACACAGGCACCACCACACAGTAACACAAGCACCATTACACAGTAACATAAGCACCACACAGTAACACAGCCACCACACATTAACACACAGGCACCACACAGTAACACAGGTACCACCACACAGTAACACAAGCTCCACACAGTAACACAGGTACCACCACACAGTAACACAAGCTCCACACAGTAACACAGCCACCACACAGTAACACAGGCACCACCACGCAGTAACACAAACACCACACAGTAACACAGGCACCACCACACAGTAACACAAGCACCACACAGTAACACAGCCACCACACAGTAACACAAGCACCACACAGTAACACAAGCACCACCACACAATAACACAAGCACCACACAGTAACACAAGCACCACACAGTAACACAAGCACCACCACACAGTAACACAGGCACCACACAGTAACACAAGCACCACACAGTAACACAGCCACCGCACAGTAACACAGCCATCACACAGTAACACAAGCACCACACAGTAACACAAGCACCACCACACAGTAACACAAGCACCACACAGTAACACAGGCACCACACAGTAACACAGGCACCACCACACAGTAACACAAGCACCACACAGTAACACAGCCACTACACAGTAACACAAGCACCACACAGTAACACAAGCACCACCACACAGTAACACAAGCACCACACAGTAACACAAGCACCACACAGTAACACAAGCACCACCACACAGTAACACAGGCTACACCACACAGTAACACAAGCACCACACAGTAACACAAGCACCACACAGTAACACACAGGCACCACACAGTAACACAAGCTCCACACAGTTACACACAAGCACCACACAGTAACACAGGCACCACCACACAGTAACACAAGCACCACACAGTAACACAGCCACCACACAGTAACACAAGCACCACACAGTAACACAAGCACCACCACACAGTATCACAAGCACCACACAGTAACACAAGCACCACACAGTAACACAAGCACCACCACACAGTAACACAGGCACCACACAGTAACACAAGCACCACACAGTAACACAGCCATCACACAGTAACACAAGCACCACACAGTAACATAAGCACCACCACACAGTAACACAGGCACCACACAGTAACACAAGCACCACCACACAGTAACACAAGCACCACCACACAGTAACACAAGCACCACCACACAGTAACACAAGCACCACACAGTAACACAAACACCACACAGGAACACAAGCACCACCACACAGTAACACAAGCACCACACAGTAACACAAGCACCACACAGTAACACAAGCACCACCACACAGTAACACAGGCTCCACCACACAGTAACACAAGCACCACACAGTAACACACAGGCACCACACAGTAACACAAGCTCCACACAGTAACACACAAGCACCACACAGTAACACAGGCACCACCACACAGTAACACAAGCACCACACAGTAACACAGCCACCACACAGTAACACAAGCACCACACAGTAACACAAGCACCACCACACAGTAACACAAGCACCACACAGTAACACAAGCACCACACAGTAACACAAGCACCACCACACAGTAACACAGGCACCACACAGTAACACAAGCACCACCACACAGTAACACAAGCACCACCACACAGTAACACAAGCACCACACAGTAACACAGGCACCACCACACAGTAACACAAGCACCACACAGTTACACAAGCACCACACAGTAACACAAGCACCACACAGTAACACAGGCACCACACAGTAACACAAGCACCACACAGTTACACAGGCACCACACAGTAACACAAGCACCACACAGTAACACAAGCACCACCACACAGTAACACAAGCACCACACAGTAACACAAGCACCACACAGTAACACAAGCACCACACAGTAACACAAGCACCACACAGTTACACAGGCACCACACAGTAACACAAGCACCACACAGTGACACAAGCACCACCACACAGTAACACAAGCGCCACACAGTAACACAGGCACCACACAGTAACACAAGCACCACACAGTAGCACAAGCACCACCACACAGTAACACAAGCGCCACCACACAGTAACACAAGCACCACCACCCACCACACAGTAACACAGGCACCACACAGTAACACAAGCACCACCACTCAGTAACACAAGCACCACCACACAGTAACACAGGCACCACACAGTAACACAGGCACCACACAGTAACACAGGCACCATACAGTAACACAGCCACCACACAGTAACACAGCCACCACACAGTAACACAGGCACCATACAGTAACACAAGCACCACACAGTAACACAAGCACCACCACACAGTAACACAAGCACCACCACATAGTAACACAAGCACCACCACCCACCACACAGTAACACAGGCACCACACAGTAACACAGCCACCACACAGTAACACAGCCACCACACAGTAACACAGGCACCATACAGTAACACAAGCACCACACAGTAACACAAGCATCACCACACAGTAACACAAGCACCACCATACAGTAACACAGGCACCACACAGTAACACAGGCACCACACAGTAACACAGGCACCACACAGTAACACAGGCACCACACAGTAACACAGCCACCACACAGTAACACAAGCGCCACCACACAGTAACACAAGCGCCACCACACAGTAACACAAGCACCACCACACAGTAACACAAGCACCACCACACAGTAACACAGGCACCACCACACAGTAACACAGGCACCACACAGTAACACAGCCACCACACAGTAACACAGGCACCACCACACAGTAACACAGCCACCACACAATAACACAGCCACCACACAGTACTCACCTTAACAACATATATATTAGTCTCCTGGATATGAAGAACAGAGAACCTGGGGTCCTCAGTGATGATAAGATCACCATGAGAGAGCAGCACGTGACTGTTGGGGTCCCGGGGGTCCAGCTTCAGCCAGATGGCTGGCCCGGCCCCCTCTGACGCCACCTGTCCCATCACAAACAGTATTATACAACTCTATCAACTACAATTTCAAATAGGTAAATTTGGACATGTATGTTCGCTGCATGGGTAACCGCTTTAAAATAATTTCACGAATGCTTCGGGAACCTTAATTTATTTTTTTTATGTCTATAAGTTAAATAAAATGGCTACTATGGAATTCAAGCTATGTTTTGAGCTTTGTCTGTCACAGCTTTGGAAAGTTGTGGTGGTGTGAGAGTGTGTGGTAGTTGTGGTGGTGTGAGGGTGTGGTAGTTGTGGTGGTGTGAGGGTGTGGTAGTTGTGGTGGTGTGAGGGTGTGGTAGTTGTGGTGGTGTGAGCGTGTGGTAGTTGTGGTGGTATGAGGGTGTGTGGTTGTTGTGGTGGTGTGAGGGTGTGTGGTAGTTGTGGTGGTGTGAAGGTGTGGTAGTTGTGGTGGTGTGAGGGTGTGGTAGTTGTGGTGGTGTGAGGGTGTGGTAGTTGTGGTGGTGTGAGGGTGTGGTAGTTGTGGTGGTGTGAGGGTGTGTGGTAGTTGTGGTGGTGTGAGGGTGTGGTAGTTGTGGTGGTGTGAGGGTGTGTGGTAGTTGTGGTGGTGTGAGGGTGTGTGGTAGTTGTGGTGGTGTGAGGGTGTGGTAGTTGTGGTGGTGTGAGGGTGTGTGGTAGTTGTGGTGGTGTGAGGGTGTGGTAGTTGTGGTGGTGTGAGGGTGTGGTAGTTGTGGTGGTGTGAGGGTGTGGTAGTTGTTGTGGTGTGAGGGGTGTGTGGTAGTTGTGGTGGTGTGAGGGTGTGGTAGTTGTGGTGGTGTGAGGGTGTGGTAGTTGTGGTGGTGTGAGGGTGTGGTAGTTGTGGTGGTGTGAGGGTGTGTGATAGTTGTGGTGGTGTGAGGGTGTGTGGTAGTTGTGGTGGTGTGAGGGTGTGTGGTAGTTGTGGTGGTGTGAGGGTGTGGTAGTTGTGGTGGTGTGAGGGTGTGTGGTAGTTGTGGTGGTGTGAGGGTGTGTGGTAGTTGTGGTGGTGTGAGGGGTGTGTGGTAGTTGTGGTGGTGTGAGGGTGTGTGGTAGTTGTGGTGGTGTGAGGGTGTGTGGTAGTTGTGGTGGTGTGAGGGTGTGTGGTAGTTGTGGTGGTGTGAGGGTGTGTGGTAGTTGTGGTGGTGTGAGGGTGTGTGGTAGTTGTGGTGGTGTGAGGGTGTGTGGTAGTTGTGGTGGTGTGAGGGTGTGTGGTAGTTGTGGTGGTGTTAGGGTGTGGTAGTTGTGGTGGTGTGAGGGTGTGTGGTAGTTGTGGTGGTGTGAGGGTGTGGTAGTTGTGGTGGTGTGAGGGTGTGTGGTAGTTGTGGTGGTGTGAGGGTGTGGTAGTTGTGGTTGTGTTAGGGTGTGGTAGTTGTGGTGGTGTGAGGGTGTGGTAGTTGTGGTGGTGTGAGGGTGTGTGGTAGTTGTGGTGGTGTGAGGGTGTGTGGTAGTTGTGGTGGTGTGAGGGTGTGGTAGTTGTGGTGGTGTGAGGGTGTGGTAGTTGTGAGGGTGTGGTAGTTGTGGTGGTGTGAGGGTGTGGTAGTTGTGGTGGTGTGAGGGGTGTGTGGTAGTTGTGGTGGTGTGAGGGTGTGGGCATCATTCACTAATCATACCGCCAGTCTGTACATTTATCAAACACTTTACGAACTCGTAAACTTCACAACCCAAGATTATTAATGTTATAAACAACCTCGTAGTGCGTCGGAGCTCGTAAACTATATAACAATGTGAACAAAGCCGACATGATTGAAGAAAGATGTACAAGTTTCGTATCTGGTTGGGTAAATGCTTGATAAATCTTGCCACGCTGGTCATGTACCAATATAAGAATCATTAACCTCAACAACCAGTCAGGTTAGCCACAACACCACGTCTGCCTGTCCCCTTAAAGACGGTCTGAAATGATCTGTCAGGTCGTCTCTCAGTCTGTCTGTAAGACTCAGTTCCTCTGAGGCCAGATTCACGAAGCAGTTAGGCAAGCACTTACGAACCTGTACATCTTTTCTCAATCTTTGGCGGCTTTGTTTACAATTATTAAACAGTTAATGAGCTCCGAAGCACCAGGAGGCTGTTTATAACAATATCAACTGTTGATTGGCATGTTTTCATGCGTGTAAACTGTTTAATAAATGTAACCAAAGCCGTCAAAGATCGAGGAAAGATGTACACGTTCGTAAGTGCTTGCGTAACTGCTTCGTGAACCTGCCCTCTGGCCAGGTAAAGTTATTATTTCCTGCCCTGATGTGAGTGCTCTCCTCATATGGGGGTGAAAATGGTGGTAATTTGACCCAACGCTGCAATTTCACTTCCATAAGATATTCACGTGTTGTAGATGATACCATAACCCTTACACATGTGTCCTTGGTACAATGGACACCCTACAGCTGTGTGCGCGGCAATACCTGCCACCTATATACCTGCCACCTATACACCTGCGGACACACCTGGCACTGCAGCTGGACAGTGTCGCCCTTTTCCACGGCTGAGCCCGGCTGCCACCACACCCGAGGCAGGCCTCCGCTGCTCACACCTGTAGGAGAAACAACTGTCTTAGATATATATGTACATCATTACATATTGATATACGCGAGCAAAAATTATTTATGAAATGGGAAAGCTGCCTGTTCCACACGCTAGGCTGTGGGAAAGGTATTTAAATACCCTGTAGGAATTCCTACCTCTTTAAGGGCTCTGAAGTATGGTGTAGTGGATACAGTGCGTACCTGCCACCTTGATGGCCAGTGTTCGAGTCTCCTGGTGGGTGTGGGTGTCTATACTTCTTCTTATAAGTTCTATACTTCAAACTTTTGGTTTATAAGCAAGTCTGTGTATATATATATATATATATATATATATATATATATATATATATATATATATATATATATATATGTCGTACCTTGTAGCCAGAACGCACTTCTTTGCCTACTATGTAAGGCCCGATTTGCCTAATAAGCCAAGTTTTCATGAAATAATTGTTTTTCGACTACCTAACTTACCTAACCTAACCTAACCTAACTTTTTCGGCTACCTAACCTAACCTAACCTATAAAGATAGGTTAGGTTAGGTTAGGTAGGGTTGGTTAGGTTCGGTCATATATCTACGTTAATTTTAACTCCAATAAAAAAAATTGACCTCATACATAATGAAATGGGTAGCTTTATCATTTCATAAGAAAAACATTTGAGAAAATATATTATTTCAGGAAAACTTGGCTTATAGGCAAATCGGGCCCTGAATTGTAGGCTGAGAAGTGCGTTCTGGCTACTAGGTACGACATATATATATATATATATATATATATATATATATATATATATATATTACTCAAGTTAACACTGCCGTTTTTAAGGTGACATGACTAGGATAGATTTCTATCCAAATAGAATAGGATAGAAATTACTGACTCCCAAAGGTCTGAAAGCCCCCAATATAAACAGTTATGATTTGTTTACATCTGACGTCTACGATCATGGATGGCCAGTTGAAAACGTGGACCAGACTGTGCGACACAGTGCTTGCCAGGATCAGGTTACGGGTATTGTCTTAATTTATTATTATTATCTTTTTTATTATTATTTTCTACCACAGACGTGGCCACACATTTACAATACTAACCAGCATATATACATTTTGTTCTGTCCTGCATGGACAGGGTGAGAGATCTGTTAAACATATAGTTCAGTCACCTTCTGTGGTTGAGTGTTCAATAAGCCCTTGAACTATATGTTTAACACATCTCTAACCCTGTCCATGGAGGACAGAAGAAAATGTATATATGCTGGTTAGCATTGTAAATGTCTGGCCACGTCTGTGGTAGAAAATAATAATAATAATAATAATAAAAAAAAAAGTTCAGGGAGTTATCGTTACTTATGGCAGGTAGCTACAGGTGACGGATCTCCCAATCCTGAGCACTCCAGGTGCTCAGGTACCTGGAGTGAGCAGGAACTGGGCCATTATCTCACACACACACGACATCACTGAATGGCCAGTTGTTAAACCCTTCAGACTCCCCGGCATGAGGGAGCTGGAGCTTGGCCATCACCTTTATTACCTCTCGTGTTGTTGATGATATCTTCATAAGGCATCCAGAGTCTGCCAGTGTAGACAACTGGTCACACGTCTCTCTGACTAACCATCACGTGTTATGGGGCTGTTTACCACCACGTGTTATGGGGCTGTTTACCACCACGTGTTATGGGGCTGTTTACCACCACGTGTTATGGGGCTGTTTACCACCACGTGTTATGGGGCTGTTTACCACCACGTGTTATGGGGCTGTTTACACCACGTAGCTAGTTCGCTGGCAGCTATATAAATGCAGAATGTACATGTGTTGATAAGGGCAGATAGTGTATACTTGTAGCAGCAGACAACATAGTGTGGGACTGTTGGTAGTGTAATTCTCTCGTGTCTCACTATGTGCCGCAACAGATTAGGAAAACAGCAAAAAAGTTAGAATTGTGAGTGGGTGATGGGTCGGGGCGTCCGTGGGTGGTGGAGGTCACCCTGGTGGTGTTCCCTATATGGGGTCTTCCTGGCCTCTCTGGCGGCCACCTCCACCAGGGGTACAGTCACCTGTACCAGGGGTACAGTCACCTCCACCAGGGGTACAGTCACCTGCACCAGGGGTACAGTCACCTGTACCAGGGGTACAGCGGTCACCTCCACCAGGGGTACAGTCACCTGTACCAGGGGTACAGTCACCTCCACCAGGGGTACAGTCACCTCCACCAGGGGTACAGTCACCTGTACCAGGGGTACAGTCACCTCCACCAGGGGTACAGTCACCTGTACCAGGGGTACAGTCACCTCCACCAGGGGTACAGTCACCTGTACCAGGGGTACAGTCACCTCCACCAGGGGTACAGCGGCCACCTCCACCAGGGGTACAGCGGCCACCTCCACCAGGGGTACAGTCACCTCCACCAGGGGTACAGTCACCTGTACCAGGGGTACAGTCACCTCCACCAGGGGTACAGTCACCTGTACCAGGGGTACAGTCACCTCCACCAGGGGTACAGTCACCTCCACCAGGGGTACAGTCACCTGTACCAGGGGTACAGTCACCTCCACCAGGGGTACAGTCACCTGTACCAGGGGTACAGTCACCTCCACCAGGGGTACAGTCACCTCCACCAGGGGTACAGCGGCCACCTCCACCAGGGGTACAGTCACCTGTACCAGGGGTACAGTCACCTCCACCAGGGGTACAGTCACCTCCACCAGGGGTACAGCGGCCACCTCCACCAGGGGTACAGTCACCTCCACCAGGGGTACAGTCATCTGTACCAGGGGTACAGTCACCACCAGGGGTACAGCGGCCACCTCCACCAGGGGTACAGTCACCTGTACCAGGGGTACAGTCACCTCCACCAGGGGTACAGTCACCTGTACCAGGGGTACAGTCACCTCCACCAGGGGTACAGGGACCACATTAGGAAGAACGGGAGGGAGGGAGACCAATGTATAATCTCACGAGTCTTGTATTTCTGGAGTTGTGGCCGCTGGCTGCTTCAGTTCCCCGCCAGTTGACGCATAAGGCCAAGACCTGCACGTCCCAGGGTCTCCACACAAGGCTTTCTACCCATGTTCTTATTGCAAAAGAATTTCCACCAATATTCTTTATAACCCAAGACATTCCTGCCGTTTTCTGTATGACCCAACGCGTTCCAATCCTAGACTTTCCTGCTGCAATCTGAAAAGACCAAGACTTTGCAACCTTAGAGGTTCCAGGCCTCTTGTATACAGCTATAGAAGGTCCAATCTGACGCTTCCATCTCCACCTGACTACAAACATCGTTCCCGTCCTCACCATTGCCTCACCATTGCCGACGCCTGCGTGTGTTTCACGGGTTGTCCAGCTCCCCCACCTCAGTGGGGAGCACCTAGATAATAAGCCTGACTGTACCATGTGTGAGACAGGAGACAGGGAGGAGGCACTAAACTCCACATGAGTATCACTGACAAGCTTCCCCCCTTCAATGTTCTCGAAAGAATAATCAGGATTATTATCCCCTCTAGGCACTAGCTCAGTCCCTAGAGAGGGAACTATCAGGAGAAAGCGCCAAGCCATTACGACAATATAGCAGTACTAGGAAGGGATCAGGATAAGGATTTGGGATGGGACGGGGGGAGAGGAATGGTGCCCAACGATTTGGACAGTCGGGGGATTGAACGCCGGCCTGCATGAAGCGAGACCGTCGCTCTACCGTCCAACATACATACTTCAACATACCTCAACATACCATGTTGAGGTATGTAAACAAACGTCTACAGGTGTTTTAAGGAAGGGAAATCATCCCTATAGAACCTATTGGAGTTTTATGGTAAGTAATACAAATAAGATAAAAGAGTATGTTGGGCAGACTGCATGTTTCTGGACTGCCCAAAAGTGTTTGACAGAGTTCCACACCAGGGATAACTACAGAGACCAGAGAGGCAGGCTGGAGTAAGTGAAAGACACCTGACATGGGTAAGAAAGTGCCTATAAGAGACAGAAACTGTTGACACATGTAGTGTGACGTATGACCAAGAGTACTAAACTGAATGATGGAGTACCTCTCACCAAGCCAGGAGTCATAGCAAGAGGAGACACTTGGCAGCCTACAGACGCATAACGAGAGGAGTACCTCAAGGGTCACTACTACGACACATCCTCTTACTAATATATGTAAACAATCTCACAAAAGAAGCAACCTCATTCATTTCAATGTTTGCTGATGATGCTAAGATAATAAGGCGAATCACAGCTGAGGAGCACTTCAGTACATTGCAAGATGAATTAGACAATTTCCAGAGAGTGAGAAATGGCTATTAGACTTTAACCCTGACAAATGCAAGATTATGATGATAGGAATTGGAGCAAGAAGACCGCAAATACAGTACAAGATGAACGGCAGACAACTTTCAACTTTTGAAAAGAGACAAATTAACGAGTGGACATAACTTGGGATCTAACACCAGAGGCACACTTCAGCAGAATAACTATAGCAGCACACTTCAGCAGAGTAATGAGGGCAGCATACTTCAGCAGAATAACTATAGCAGCACACTTCAGCAGAGTAATGAGGGCAGCATACTTCAGCAGAGTAATGAGGGCAGCACACTTCAGCAGAGTAATGAGGGCAGCATACTTCAGCAGAGTAATGAGGGCAGCACACTTCAGCACAATAATGAGGGCAGCACACTTCAGCAGAATAATGAGGGCAGCATACTTCAGCAGAATAATGAGGGCAGCACACTTCAGCAGAATAATGAGGGCAGCACACTTCAGCAGAATAATGAGGGCAGCATACTTCAGCAGAATAATGAGGGTAGCACACTTCAGCAGAATAATGAGGGCAGCACACTTCAGCAGAATAATGAGGGCAGCACACTTCAGCAGAATAATGAGGGCAGCACACTTCAGCAGAATAATGAGGGCAGCACACTTCAGCAGAATAAGGACAGCACTTGGTCCTCTCACTAGGAACTTTAAATGACCCGGCCGGGATTCGAACCTATGCCGTCCATGATCATCCCTA